TGGCCACAAACATCAGAGTGGTATCAAGTGGATGAGATGTATTAATGAGGAAGTAAAAACAAGCTAGGAATGTCCACAGCACTTTGCTTTGGCCTGCACCTCCAGGGACAAGTCATTGGATACTCCACCACAGACATCAGAAGAGCTGCAAGACCAACAACAAGCCATGAGAGTAAAGACAAAGATCCACACAGAGGAAAAGTGTTCTTGCCATACATCATAGAATCATAGAATCAAAGATTGGAAGAGACCTCATGTGCCATCCAGTCCAACCCCCTGCCAAGAAGCAGGAATATTGCATTCAAATCATCAAGGGAACTACTGACCGCATAAGGAAGCTGATGAGGAAACACAACATACAAACTATCGACAGACCCACTAAGAAAATCCAACAAACACTTCGTTCAGCAAAGGACAAGAGGGATCCTCTCAGCTCTGCAGGAGTCTACCGTATACCATGCAGCTGTGGACAAGTCTACATAGGGACCACCAAATGCAGCACCCAAACACAAATCAAGGAACATGAAAGGTACTCTAGACTATCTCAACCAGAGAGGTCAGCCATAGCAGACCACTTGATGAACCAACCTGGATCCATCATATAATTTGAGAACACAGAAATGCTGGGCCACTCTAAAAACCATGTCAGAATACACAGAAAAGCCATTGAAATCCACAAGCATGTGGACAATTTCAAGAGAAAGGAGGAAATTATGAAAATGAACAAGGTTTGGCTACCAGTATTTTAAAAATGCCAAAATCAGGAAAGTAAATAAAGAGCAACACTCAAAAAGCAGGGAAATTCTGGACAAGAATCATTCAGGACCAGCTAACACCTCCCAACAAAGGACCCTCCCAGGCAGCAACCAGCCAAGCTTTGAAGCTGCAAGGCCATTAAATGCTAATCAAGGTGGCCATTTGCAACATCCACACATGCCTCAAGCAGACAAGAGTTCTTTCTTCCACCCTGGACATTCCACAGATATATAAACCTCACTCGTCTACTTTCCAACAGACCTCACAACCTCTGAGGATGCCTGCCATAGATGTGGGTGAAACGTCAGGAGATAATGCTTCTGGAACATGGCCATACAGCCTGGAAAACTCACAGCAACCCAAAGACAAGATTCTCTTCTCAGCTGCTGAGTTTACTTTAAACTCCATTTGTAGCAACTGAAGTAAGGAGGATGAAGGGAAAGTGGTACAAGAAAAAAGGAACTAGAACATTTTAAAGGCAGCTGAAAAAGTGACAGAGAAATAACTGGGAATATTTTTTGCCAAATCAAGGCAGTTGGAGGCTATAAGACCCCATCTTGTAATGTGTAGGTGATGATGATAGGCTTCTAAAGATATTGCCCACTGGCTTATCAGCTATCCTGAAGTACTTCCTAATGGTTGAAAAACCATCTCCCCTGGTCTTTCTGGTCATTTTTAAAGCCTAGGGACAAGGAAGCAATCTGAAGACAATGGTAAAAGTTTCTCTCAGGAGAAGTTCAGATTTGCTGGTGGCTCTTGAACAAATGCTTCTCAAGACAGAAGACTCCTTCCACGCTCCTAATGAGAATGCTCCTTTGCAGAGGAGCAACAATATGATACCTAATTATGGTTGCCAGAGACATTATGATGAATAATAATGTTTTAAATGTATTTTAATCTAATGTTTTATCTTTTGTATAATGCTGTTTGTAATGTGTTTTTGTATGTTGTCGGCATCGAATTGCTGCCATTGTAAGCCGCCCTGAGTCCCACTTCGGGGGTTGAGAAGGACGGGGTAGAAATGTTGGAAATAAATAAATAAATAAATCCTTCCAACTATCCTGTTTTGACAGGGACTGTTTTAATTTATCTTCTGTAATGACACTTTTTCAGCTGTTTCTTAAATGTCCCAGTTACTCTCTCCTTCCACTTTCACCCATTGACATTACCCTACTCCAGTGACTCCAAACTGAAAATTCAAAATGTATAAATATCGTAGTTTGCCCTCAAGTAACTCAGTTGGATAAGAGGGGCAGAGTAGGTGAAATCCTATCCTACATATGGATTTATACCAGCGGTCCTCAACCTGTGAGTCCCTAGATATTTTGGCCTACAAATCCCAGAAATCCTAACAGCTGATAAACAAAGTTGAGTTTTGAAGCAGAATTGGGGGGGGGGGGGGTGTTTGAGAAAGGAATCAACATTGGGAGGTCTAGAGCAGTGGTTCTCAACCTTTGGGTCCCAAGATGTTTTGTCCTTCAACTCTCAGAAATCCTAACAGCTGGTAAACTGGCTGGGATTTCTGGGAGTTGTAGGCCAAACACCTGGGGACCCACAGGTTGAGTAGCACTGATTTAGACAAAAGAAATCTGCTGCAGCCTCTCCTAGCTTGTGTATTATTCCTCATTAATCTTTTTGCTTCTAATGTCCCTCAGTTACACATCCCAGTTTTCTCTGTGAAATGGTGGAGGATCTGTAGAGATGATCCAAGACACTGATGCCCGGAGCAGAACATCCATACCTCCACACTTTGGTGGTAAAAACTTTAATATGGCATTCATAGCAGGGCAAATGGAAACTGATGCAATTTCATTCTCTTCATTCTTCCCATGGAGAGCCTTTTGGCAAGCGATGGCAAAGGCCTGGGAATGGGTAAGCAGCCTGGAGAGGTATGCAAGGGACCCACGGGGCTTGTACTTTCTGGTGTCCAGTATTTCTCAAGGAGCCCAGTGTGGGAAATCATTAGCTGGAATAAAGTGGGGGGGAAAGCTGGGAGAACTGAAGCGAATGTTGTTACCAGGCCAACATATCTGTCTGTGGAGTTTTCTGCATCTCCCAGCCTTGTTCCCTGTCCGTGATCATCATCCTCTCCAGAGATCTGCCCAGAATACACTTCACAGCTGCACTTCTGGAAGGTCTGAATGTGAGCAGTTATGCAGACTGCCTACACGCCCAAAAATGGAGGGATGGAAACAATTATGGGTGGAGGAAGGGATTGACGAAGGAAATCCTGTATCTTGCTTTCATGCATTTGAGATGACCACATAACTACAGTGTACCAATCTTATTTTTAGGTTTCCCAGTTTGAATCGCACAATGCACAAGCCATCTAGAAATATTCATGCATATCTGATGTGTACTTTGAATACTTTTTGTTCAAGGATGTCAGATGATTGAACAACACAATGAAGAGAACATCTATCATTGCAGAAAAGCATGTGTTTGTTGTTCTTTTTCTTCATTTCAAAATGCTGCACAGTTTCAGCATGATAGAAAACAAATGATCTACTGCTGCTTCCTCTTAGAATGAACAAAGAGGCAGACTAGGTCTCATTTATTTTTCTTTTTTGCAAAACTTCTGCCATGAATTAGTTAAACCCACAGGAGTTTGTCCTCTGACCACAAATTTCTTTTTTAGTTGGTGGAACAGAGTGGTTTAGCTATTATTTTCCTAGCTAACTGGGCTGTCACTAACCCCTCACTCCCATTTGCAATGTTTATCTTTCCCCCTGCTTTTCAACAGAGTTTTGGGTTTTATCTCTTCTGCTGGATAGTTTTATGAGTGCCAAAGAAATAAAGAGGGCCAGTTTATGCTTTAACAGAAATTTGGAAATGCTTTTTCTCAGGACAAAATAGGATGCAGATGTGCATGTATGTATGTATAATATAAAATTGAGAAATAATTATGATAAATCCAAAATATCTTGCCATTATGTAAAAGACTGCAGTCAGGTGATCTGCGACCATGCTCGGCCTAATCTTCTGAACCAGCTGTGTATGGACAACTTCAAGCCCACTGCTGTTCTCTCTTCCCATGGTTCTTTTATTTTAACCTGGACTTTGACCCAACAATTGTTCAAAATAGAGAAATGCTAGGCCATTGGTTGCCAGGCCATGGAGAGTTTATAGAAAAGAAGGCAATGGGCAAAAATGTGAATCCCTGGCACATTGAGATCAGGGAAATATCAATACTCTGCTTCAGGTAGCCCAAAAAGTACTGAAACAAAGAATACTGCCAAATAGGATGGACTTCTATTAAACAGAACATATAGGTATCCGATAAAGGGCATTTTTTTGTTTTTAAAACTTGAGGTTTCGTTTGCTGATTGAATGTTGATTTGAAACCTGAAATGGTGACGAGCATCTCGTCACCAATGCTCGCCATCAACATCCCCTGAAAACCCCTGAAAACGAAACATTTTTATACTACTTTCCCATGAACAGCTATATAGTGGGTGGTGGAGAACATGGACATCTTGCTGTGTACCCACAGCCTGGGTCACAATGTTGTGGTATCCTATAGGACCCCTCAAGCTTTCGTTGGACATTCTGGAGGATGATGCCATTGTTGTGCATCTGACTGTGGTCACATACGCAGACTTCTCAGTGAGCTTCTACTCTAACACTGACCACTTTATGTCTGTGTAGAAGAGAGAAAACCAGTGGGTGAAGAGAGGAGACTGTAGAGATGACACTGTTCTGCTTTGTGGAACTTAATGCTCCATCTTCTCGCTGAAAGATCTTTTAGTGTTAACATAAAAGCAGATAATCTGGAGAATGCATATTGCTCTAGAGCAAAAAGCATGATGCCTTTACCCTTCTGGGCAAATCTTGACATGTCCCCAACCTCTGGTCTGAGGGCCCTTCCACACAGCAATAAAATCTAGAAGATCAAGGTAGGAAATCCCACAATAACGGCTTTGAATTGGGATATCTGAGTCCACACTGCCATATATTCCAGGTTTTAAGCAGATAATCTGGGACTTTATTCAGATGTGTGGAAGGGGCCTGAGTCACAGTTTATTGGACTCTTACAACTTATCACTTCTGTAGGAAATAAAAATAGTTACTTAAGCTTTCTCATTTTGGACCTGATCTTTTTTCTTTTGTATGAATCAGAGAGAGATGAAAAATCTGTTTTTAGATATAAAAGGTCCTAAAATGATTCTTCCTCTCCCCAGTTCTCAGAGTGGCGGGAAATAGTTCCTTTCTGTTATCAATTGTTTCTTCTCACATTTCTCCAGTGTCTCGACTACAGGAAAGGAGCCTTGACAGGAGATCTTTGTGAAGACCTATGTGTGGCACAGAAATTGATATATACACGTTGCCTTTATTATGAAAGAGGTAAGAAAGTCATCCAGGCTGACTGGAGAGGCCGTCCGGTGATTCTGAAATCAAAAAACGAAATATTCTCGAGCTACCACCACCTTGGCTTTCTGGAGGAGCTTGAATCACAAGGTGTTCCAGAGGCTGAATTGCTTCTGATGGTTGCTTTGGAAATCAAGAACGTTCTGGGCTTAGACCTTCCTAATAACACAATGGGACCTTTGTGGACTAAGAGGAGAGGCCCACACTGGAAAGCACAGCTAGCAAGTATGTGGTCCTTACTCCAACAAGAAGAATATATTTACTTTAGTGTATTGCAAGATTTCAGTAAACATGTCCTAAGGGTCATTGGCTCTTGCGGCCACTTCTATGCTGTGGAATATTTGACTGCAGGACACGCCTGGCACAAAACATTGTTTTCAGTTGAAGATGCTCTTGGTGCCTCCTTCTCTGGGATTGGAAATAAGGCTAAGGCCATCACTGAAATAGCAATAAGCTTTTTGGATATGGTGAAACACTTTGACAATGATTTCTCCCACCGGCTTCATCTCTGTGACATCAAACCTGAAAATTTTGCCATCCGAAATGACCTTACGGTAAGTAAGGACTACGGTCTTGATGATTAAATTTATCATTAATTTTTATTCATATAAATAAAGTTGAGAGTACAACTGGAATTCTAAGAGGTCTTCTTCTTCTTCATTGACAACACATGTGCAAAGTGCTGTATGCCCAATGTGTTTCAAATTGGCCTGATGTGGAAATTTAATCCTAGCATACTTTATAATCCAGATCGCTCATCTCAAAGTCTATTTTCTTTTTCAGCATCACACTATGATTGCAGCAAAATATTTTGTAAACATTCAAGCAACATGCCAAACTCAATTAAAGTTATTCTGAAAAGTGAATCCTGCAACCACTTATTATGTAGTGCTCCTGTTGAGGATTTCATCCAACCACCATGTCCTTTTCTAGGATAGTTCACTCCATTTCATCCCCCCCACCCACCCAGTTGTTTATTCTAGCTCCCTAATAGAGCCTTCTTAGGGTCACTCAATATTTTAATTTACAATTCTCCTTTCACATTTTCACCTTTCTTCCTTTAAATATTATTTTGTGTGCTATATCTTGACATTCCTCCAAGCCTAGATACCTCTTTCACTTGGATAGTGTTGTTTGACCATGTAATAATAGACATCCAGAACTGAGTTGGAAAGTGGAATATAAAATATTTCCAAGGAGTTATTGAAAAGTGGAATAGTCCTGTTGATGCCATGGTTAGTAAGCATTCTGTAGCTATAGAACAGGCTTGGGGTGGATCTAGACAGCCCCTTTATTGCAGAAACTTCCACAATAAAAGGGGGCTGTCCAGACAATATTCTGGACAATCCTGAATTAACTCGCCACAAACCAGGAAAACCCTGGTTTGTGATGAATTAATTGATAGGGGGTTTATTCCACACCTTCTTGGAAGGCGCGGGATAAACCCACAACTTCTGGTGTCTGGACAACTGTGGGAACCCCAACCTACTCCCCAAAAGCCCTAACCCCCCTTTTAAATATAAAAGTACTTACCCAGCCTCCATTGGAGAGCTGTGGTAGCTCTCCTGGTGAATAGAAATGGCACGCCAGGGGGAATTGGGGGGGGGGGGGGGGGGGGGGGGGGGGGGGGGGGGGAGACCGCGCCAGGAGAGTTGCCACAGCTCTGCAATAGAGGTTGAGTAAGTATTTTCATTTTTTAAAAGTGGTTTTTGGGCTTTTGGGGAGGGAGGTAGAGCCTCCAGGTGTTCTCCTGGGCCAGTGCCAGAAGAACATCTTGACACCCACCCCAGAAAACACATGCTTTTTGGGTGTGTATGGACAGGGCCCCAGGAACATTCGTGTTTTTGAAATGCAAATGCTTCTGGGATAAATCCATGATGGCCTTTTATTTTCTGAGAACTTTAAGTTATCTATAAGCCCACTGACATCTTCTTTTGTGTGGCAGTGATGTTAAATTGTTAAAAATGCAGCTCCAAGAGTTATATTTTCTCCAAAAGTAAATTTCCAGTTCTGTGTCCCTTTTCACACTAAATGGTTATAGCACTATGGTTTCCTTGATAAGATCTTCTGAAATTCTGGGTTTTGCAGTTTAGGGAAGTGTATTTAGAATTACCAACCAGAGAATACCAGTGCCTTAGAGGCCTATAAATCCCATGACTCTATAAGATGGAATGATGGCTATTGAATTGGGATTACAAAGCTGTAATTGGGTTGCATGGAAGGGCCCCTAATTTTGGTCAACATACACAATAGCACTAGCCGCTCAGCAGTGAAAATGGAGTTTGTGTTGGTAATAGCAGTGATGAGAATGATGATTTACAGATCTGTATTCCCTTGAGAACATAAATAACAGGCCTGGGTGCAGTACTTAAGCTTATCTTTTGTTAAAGATAGTATGGCTTTTATTGTTGTTGAATTTCAAGATAAGGTAAGAGAGGAATATAGTCTTGAAAGTAAGTTACGTTTTCAGGAATGTTGCTATTCATTCCACACCAGTTGAGTCTTTGAAGTTCAGGAAGAATAGAAATCCAACTCAATGTAGATCTCAGCTGGAGTTTTGGTAAGAAAAGACTTCTATAGAAGGGTCTTCAAATCATATTTTCAGTTTAACTTAGAGCAAATTAATTTCTTCCTGCAGAGGAAAAGCAGAATCCATTCATTAGTGAGGCTGCCAATGGTCTCAGTATTTATTAAGTATGCACAAAGAACTTCTGATTTGAAAGTGCTCTGCAAAGTTTAAGCATGTAGTCACTTAAAGGCGTAGGCTTATTTTTACTCCCCAATTTATTTTTATATTTATTCAGGTGGATAATTAGAACTAAGGGAATGGATGGGAAAGAGAGAGAAAAAAATCACCCGAAGATTTGACTTATTAACTGGAGGAGAATTTTCCTGCATCTGCTTTGCTTCACATATGTTGAGAGTCAGATCTAATAGGGTTGCTACAGAGCAACTTTCGCCACATTTGAATGCACTTTCCCCCGATAAAACAAAAGAACCCTGCATTTGTAAGACAGTACCATGGCTGTCATCCATGATCTAAAGACTGGATGTTTGACTAGACAATCTCCCAGATAGCTTTGCCCCAATTAGTATCCAAAATCTTGTCCTTGCCCTTTACTATTGCTCTATAACCAAAGCTATAATGCTCTATCTTATACTGCCCTCTATCCCTATTGCTGCCATATGACCTATGCACTTTATCCATCAGCCCTATCCTCACAATTGTTTTTGCACCAGTCTGCCTACTTGTGCCCAGGAGATGATTATTATCATGAAGCTCATTGGTTATTACTGTGATGTTTTGTTTTTCTATTTTGTTATAATGTTGTGTTTTCTGTTTTCTGTTGTTGTTTAGATATTTTAATATGTTATATTTTAACCATGTTGATCGGGCCCATCCTGCCCCGAGTCCCTTTGGAGGTGGGGTACAAAAATAAAGTTGTTGTTGTTGTTGTTGTTGTTGTTGTTGTTGTTATTATTATTATTATGGCTTCATGATTCTCATAGGCTCAATCTATACTGCCATATAAAATCCAGACTACCTGGTTTGAACTGGATTATATAGCAATGTAGATCCAGCCATAGAAATGTACATGTATCTCATTGTGTTTCATCTGAGCAAGACATGTTGATGGTTTGTGGTTGAAGCAACCACTGAGCTGCTCAACTGGGAAGAAACACACAGAATGCTCAAGCGTGTCATTGACTTTAAAAATACATTATTAGAGTACATGGGCAGCATTCTGATGAAACCGATAGTAGTGAGGTTAATCCTGAAGGGCAACATTTCTCAATTTATCTGATGCGTGGAACCAGCATTTTTCTTTCTTTCAATTGATACCATATTTTGACCATTGGCTAAAATGTCCTGGAAACTCTCTGTGGTCCAGCAGCCAATGACTCAAAGATTGGCACCAGTCCACCAATTTCAGTAGAACTGATGCAGAGGGATTGGAACTGCTAAAAAAGAGAAGTGATTCATTTTGCTACCAAACCCAAAGACATACTAACCCTAAACTCTTTTTTTCAGTTTTTACTCAGCTACTTCATAGTGTTGGCACAAACTGGGAAATACATCTATCACATGAATGCATTTGTCTCATCCTTTGTATTAATTAAATTTCAATTGGTGGGCAAACGGATGGAGGTCATTCCTAATTTGTGGATGCTCATACTGGAACTAATGCAAAACTACTGAGGAACTCATTGTTTATTATTATTATTTGAACATAATTTGCCCCTAAGATCATCCCACATTGGGCCATATATACCAATTATTTTTCTTCAGTGTGTGAACTAATGAAATAGCCAGGACATGATAGAATTCTTCTAATTCTATTTACTTTTTGTTTTTCTTGAATTTCCTGGGAAATCATGGGTGCAGCATTTCACATACAGATCACAACAGTTGGGACACAATTAAAATCTGACCCACTTGCGTGCATTCTTGTCAGACTTATCAACAACAGCATCCAATAGCAGGATTATTTTTCCTCAGTTGCACCTCTCTTAAGAAAACACACTCTTAAGAAGTCACAGTGCATGGCAGATATATTTCTGATACAGCCTGCAAGAACTTGTGGAAGGCCTTAGGGCATGTCAACTTTTCAAGAAGAAATCCACGGAGTGATAGACTTCTTTAGACATATTGCTGTGGTGTGCAAACTGCCTTCCCCCCAGTTTTGTTATTTTTCAAGTGAAATGTGTGGTCGCAAAAGAAAAGGTTGTCCTGACAGGCGAGAGACTAGAATTCTCAGTTCATACATCTCACAGAGTGAACATGAATTTGACAGGACAATATCATTGACAGAAGCTGCAACTTCCTTTGTGTAGTGGTAGGGAGTCAGTACTCTTAGGGAAAGTCAACATTAACAGAAAAACCAAGACTCACCTCAAATCCATTACTGTCTGCCTCAAGATGCATAGGGACTTCAATATCCCCCCCCCCCCTTAATCCAACTTTGCTACCACTTTAGGAAAAGTCTGGGGATACTGCAGGGCATCCCAGGACTTTGTGGCAGTTAAAATGGTTGGATTGGGTTTGATTCAACCCAATCCACTGTCTAGATCAATGGTTCCCAACCCTTGACCCTCCAGTTGTTTTGGACTTCAACTCCTAGAAATCCTAGCAACCTTACCAGCCATTAGGAATTGTGGGAGCTGAAGCCCAGAACATTTGGAGGATGAAAGATTGGGAACCACTGGTCCATATTGACATCATGCCATCACTCTTTCCCCATGCTAATCAGCACAGGGAAAAAAGGGCGACGTCTTCCTGCTGGACATGGAGCTCTATGCAAGTACCTAGCAGATGTAATCTCATCTACTGATGTCAGAATGTGGTGCCTTTGTAACCAGAAAGAAGGATAGAAATGGTGTGTGTGTGTGCGTGTGCGAGCTCTGTTCAGTTCTGGCACTCACAAGAAATCCTTGGGCTCAGAAAGCTTTTATTAATAGTGTCTGTAATCAGTGTCAGGCTTTGATTGCTCTATCTCTGTGCCATAGCTTTTTGGAAAAGCATATTCCTCACACCTCAAGTCTTTCTGCCCCTGGGATATAGGACAAGGCAGAAGCTCAACTGTCTTGGTGGAATGCCAGTAGTGCTTTTATCATGATATATAAAGCAGCAGAGCACCTCAAATATACTTGAGGAACATAGGAATCAAACACCTGGAGCAAGATCAGCACCTGATAGGGCAGCAAAAAGAGGGATGAAAAATAAAACCAGTGTGGAATTAAATCATTAATGCTTGCACATCAATTGCGTAGTGTGTTACAGAGTTAGTGGTCAGATGAAACTACCAGGACATAGGGGCTAGAGGAAGAAGGAGCAGGTACCAAGTGTCCGGCTTCAGACAAAATGAGTTGCAACCTGGCAATTGTATTTGGCAACTATCTAGTGAAGTTCCAGCCACTACTGTTGGGCTGGAACTTCACCAGATACCAGAAAGAAGGAGACATTGCTTAAAATACACAGTCTGTAATGAACCTCTGCCAAAATACATATGTCAGGTTCCTAGTCTTGCCCAGTGTTCAACATCAACAACAGACAACTTTTAAACCTTCAGATGAACTACTACTTCTATTATCCCGCAGCACTGACCAACCTTGTTTGGGTCCAATAATATGGAGATTCCAGCCTTGCTTTGCAGTCTTTTATCCGAAATGAACTGTGGATTATGTTCTGTTCTGATTTTAAGTGCCGCTCTGAACATCAGAGCACATCTGGTCAGATTCAGAGGGTTGGAAGCCAACATTTGTCAAAGTAGGCCAAGCATAGTGAACCTCAGCTTGCGTTGATTCACAGACGGTAGTTTTGTAAGGTCTTTAGTCTTGTCTGCCAAAAAATGCAGATGCCTCACCAAACTACAACTCCCAGAATTCCACAGCATTGCACCATGGCAGTTAAAGCCGTGTCAAACTGAATTAATTTGGCAGTTTAGATGCATTCTGAGTCTAGAGATTTTTGCTCTGCCATGAAGCAATAGCAAGTGATAATTTGTGAGTCTACTGCTATGTCCTTGAGTTTTGGAGATATGCTTAAACATAAATCCGATTAGAATAAAAGAATCAAAATTCATACCATCACTGGAAGCTTTCTCCTTGTCAAGGAGAAAAGACATTTTTTTCTCAACCATCTCCCACACAATATTGCTCTTTGCTGTCATACAACTATCAACCATAATACTTTCTATTTGATTTCCAGCTCTGGAGTTGTAGAGCTCATCAGCAAAAGCTCTTCCGCTTGTAATTTCTAATTTTCTCTTGCATTTATCAAGGAATGCTTGGATCAGCAGTCACAGGATTCAGCAACAAAGAGAACAGAAAGTGGCAATTTGTGTGATGGTTTGTCTCAAGTATGTGTAACCTTGAATGTCTTATTGTGGTTGCAGGTGGTTGCTATTGATGTAGATATGGCTTTTTTTGAACCCAAAATGAGAGACATCCTTGAACAGAACTGTACCGGAGACCAAGACTGTAATTTTTTTGATTGCTTTTCGAAGTGCGACCTGAGGAGCAGAAAATGTGGAGCAGAGAGAGCCAATAATAACCTTCAAGTGAGTGACCGAGGGATTATTTCTCTATTACTCAGTGCATGCCTCTCCTTTAAAATACTCATTATTGCACAGATGAGAATAAATGGACCTGTGACGGTCATTAAGGGCTTCTTCACATCTTCTTGCACGTCACTTGATGTGGCGGCTTTCCTGTATGAATAAGCTCCCACAAATCTAATGGTTAGACAGAATTTCAAATCAAGCAAAATGCTTTTCTGTGAATACGAGCAGAATCTAAAGAGGTGGCTCCATGGTAATTCTCAGCAGTGAGATAATGTTAACAAGTATCTCCCTATCCAGACACACATGATGAGATTTGTTCCTAGCTGTAGCATCGAGTAAAGTTCATGTAGTCTCAGGGTTTTGTTATATTACTCAGATGTTCCTGTGGTAATCAGTGTTGCTGAAAAGAAAGTACGAAATGTCTTCATGCAATGAGATTGCATTCCTTAGCAAGTATGTATGGGTCAGATCAGGCCCGTAGCCAGGATTTCGTTTCGGGGGGGGGGGAAATTTTCAGGGGGGGGGTGGGGGCTGAGGTTCGGGGGGGGCGGCTGAGTCTGAGTGAAAGAGGGTCAGCCCTAGCAAACCTTTTGTATCATTACCCCAATACCCCCATGCATATGGGATATATTGAGTATGGTGATCAGATCATGATATGAATAAACATAACAGTTTAAATAATGCACCAGTAAGGCCTTTTCGCGAACCACCATGAGAATTTCGGGGGGGAGGGGCTGAAGCCCCTCAAGCCCCCCCCCCCCCCCCGGCTACATGCCTGGGTCAGATATAATAATCTGTGGACTTCCAGATATTGTTGAATGAAAACTTATATCATTCTTCACCATCAACTATGGCAGCTAAATACAACTTTGTAGTTCAATAACAGCTGGATGGGTATAAAGTGTCCACCAGACAGTATGTATTGTTATGTGCCTTCAAGTCATCTCTGACGTATAGTGACCCTATTATAGGCTTGCCATTGGCTTCCTCTTAGTCCAAGAATATGACTTTTCAAGGTCACCCTATGGGAGACCTGTACAACCTGTGGCCCTTCAGGTGTTTTGGACTTTAGCTAGCATTGGACAAGCTAGCTAGGACTTCTTAGAGTTGGCATTCCAAACACCTGGAAGGTCACGGATTGTTCAGGACAGCCCTACAGGTTTCCCTAGCTGAGTGGGGAAGCAACTCTGGTCTTTCACAATTCTAGACCAACACACAAACTGGGAGTTGGCATAGCCAAGGTTCTCTTTTTATGATATGTGGCATTTCTACAGCAGATACAATATGGAGACCAGCTGTGAGTCAAGGATTGAGAAGTGTGAATGCAATCATTGTCCTTCAGCTAAGCATTCTGTTTGTTGTCAATGTCAGCTAGCATTTATACTTTTAGATTTAAATCCAAGAGTAGGCCCATTGAATCAACAGCTTATTTTCCAGTTGATCCCAATTGGCAGGAACAATCTGGAATAATCTCATGTTTTCTGCTTCTTTTAAAATGTCCCAGATTCTCTTCCTCCCCCTCCCCTTCCCCTAGCTTATATCATTTGCTACAAATTGAGTTCAAAATGCCAAAGTATTTCTCACTCAGTTAACTCAGCAGAGAAGAGAGGAGGGCAGGGGTGTGGAGATTTGTAAAAACAAAACCATGATGTAATAGGTTGACTGAAAAGAGATGTGTCGGCAGCTGACTGGCTGAACATGTCAGGAGCCAGAATTCTGATTGGCTACTGTCTCTAGCTTGCTGCTGAGAGAAACGGTTTTAACTGCCACTTTCACCTTGGAGAGTGAAGAGAGCACTGACTGGAAACAGCCAGGGAGAAAATGGCTGCCAACTCTCTGAAGCCTGATCATTTCTAAGGCATTAAGCATATTTTAAAGACTGCTTAAAAGGACTGCTTATTTCCTCTGTTTTCTGTAAGAATTCAGAGAGACAGTTGTATATATTGTTGCTATATTTGACCTTTTGAACTGAAGTAAAGTTACTGTTAGCCATTACACAAATCTGAGTGACACATTATTATATAGCAGGGTATATTTTGGTTCAGAAACAGTGGTAAAGCTTCTATTTATTTACATCTACAACCTCCCACAAGGGGTCTTCATTATAGACTGAAGCAAAAATAAAATGTTGTAGCCTCTCAAAGTTTGTAATTTTTTCCTTGTTAATAACTTTTGTTATCTCACTCATCCTCTGATGTTCCTCAGCCAGAGTTTTCATCTGTGTAAAGTTGTAAGGTATGTGATGTACCAAGTTGCTATTGATTCAATGGGTCTATTCCAATTTGAACTCATAATAGATTTAGGACATAATCCGCTAATAGAAATGCATCCAGGGTCTTCTTTTGGTCACATCACAGAGAAACAAAGCATGTTGTCATTGTCTCTTCTTGCTCTCTTGGAAGATTCTGTCTTCTGTTCTACTCTGATGTGTTGGAGCTGGAAGTGTTGGAGCTGGAAGTGTTCATATGCAGACCATTGCTTCCTAAAGATATTTTTCTCCCCACCTCTTTATTTCCACAGGTTATCTGCGATAAAATATTTCGGCCCTGGTTCTCACTGAACTTCGGGGGGTCTGCCCTCTCCTTCCCTTTGCAGCTACAGTTACAGAAAGCAGTGAATGAATGTGCCAAATCAAGAACTATGGACATTGAGCATCTCCAGAGCCAGTCTCCAGATTCCCTTTCCCGGTTATACCAGTTGCTTCAAGCCAGTCAAAAGGAACTTCAGGAAGCTGACAACCCCTTCATAAAATCCACCCAGGACTTACAGTTACTCAGTGAAAAATAACCTTCACTATTATTTCCTTTTAATTCAGTTAATTTCTGCTTATTGGCTTTTTACCGGGTTTTGGAAGCCATGAAAGAAAATGCAGTGTGTTTATTATTTTTACTTCCTGAAATGTGAAATCGTTTTCCTTGGACTCTATTTTTGTTTTGCTCCCAAACTCACGCTGTTTCTCCTGTTGATATTTTGCATTATATTGTTCATCCAGCAGGCAGCAGGAGAACCTGCTTAAGTTAATACTTGACCCAAGGATGGAAAAACATTAAAATTTCAAATGTGCTTTGGAGGAGAGGGGAAAAAATGCTTTGAGGATTAATTCTAGCTTTGAAGTAAGGGCATGAGGTGAGCAACTAAATGGGTATTGTTCATAGGAGGTTGTGTAGAATAATTCACTAACAAGAAAGTGACACCCCATCTACACTGCCATATAATCTAGTTTAAAGCAAATAATCTGCATTCAGAAAATGGATTATATGGTCAGTGTATGTTCTGTCACGCGCTGGGCCTGTTAAAAGGTCTGTAGACAGGATGTGTTCTGTATGCCCAACGGGACGCCGGGGGTGCCTCGGATTAGAGGCCCTATAGATTTCCCTAAACAAAGTCTTTAGAAACTTGGAAAGTTTAACAAAGTTCTTTATTAGTGCTTCAAGGCTGAATCAACTCATGGCTTTCTTAATCTTGTCTACAAGGGACAGGTAACTATCTTCATGAACTGTTTCTTTACAATCAGGGAAATCCTTGACCTTTACCTAGGCAATCTGTATTAGGCTCTGTTGGCATGGGCCCCTACAGCCGGTCCAAATTGCATTATGGCTGCCGCGAGTGGTCCTTACAGAACAGAGTCTTTTTGTAGATTTCCAAGAGGAAAGAAGGTCTTCAATTCCCAGCGAAGACTGGCTGTAAAGCTGTGGGACTGGATCCCCCCAGCAAAAAGCTGTAGTTCTCTGTAGAGCTGTGGGACTGAATTCCTCCAGCAAAAGCTATAAAAGACGAAGCTTTCTACAGGTGGAACTGATTCACGTCCTGTACGAAAGGCTTCTCTGTGTGAACTGAACTAGAGGTCCATTTTTCCCCTCCTAAACTCAGAAAAAGGGGTGGAACTAAAGAACCTAATGATGATTGATGGGTCATTGGCCCTATACTTGCAAACCAAGGGAAGCCACCTTATTGCAAAATGCATGGAACCTTGGAATGCATGCAAACACTCAAAGAAAGAAAAAGAAGCTGGAGCTCCTGGTACAGCTGTACCAGAACAGTGTAGATGGGGCCTAAGTTGATATTTGAATGAAGGACAATTTGCCAAGAAGTTTGTCCATGTTATTTTATCTTTGCTGGCTCTCTGTAACTACAAATCTAAAGGCTTAGGCCAAGCCTCTTTTAGTACCACATTCAGTGGTGAATCATTGAATAGGTCATGAGATCTGTTTTTTAATGTTCCATAGAGATTGTGGAATTTTTTTTTACTGCAGCTCTTGGACTTTCCTAGCTAGCGCAGCCATTGTGGAAGTTATAGCTTGCAAAATAACATTTCCAGACTCTAGCTTTAATGATGCTGCAACACTGTATTGCAACAAGAGTGGGAATCCACTCTTGTAGAAGGACCTGGAATTCAGGACCAAGGGGTATCTTAGACTTGACTTGTGGTTTTGTATTGATTGTGTTTGTTTTATCACCTTACAAAGGGCATGTCCTGGGGAAGGAGTGTGTGTGTGTGGGGGGGTGGGGTGGGTGTCAGTAGAGTGAATCATCTGTTACTTTGGTTCGCATTTAAAAAAAAAACAAAATCCAAACAAATATTTTGTTGTTTCTGATTACTTTCTTGAGATTCCTGGCACCAGGTACAACATTTTATTCCTCAAAACCTTGAGGGCACTAGATCCTACCTAAGTCTGGAAGTGCTTAGATTGTGTGTGTGTGTGTGTGTGTGTGTGTGTGTGGAGCAACTTGAGAAACTGCAAGTCACTTCTGGTGTGAGAGAATTGGCCGTCTGCAAGGATGTTGCCCAGGGGATGCCAGTATGTTTTTAGATGTTTTTACCATCTTTATGGGAGGCTTCCCTCATATCCGCGCATGGAGCTGATAGAGGGAACTCATCCACACTTTCCCCAGGTTGGATTCGAACCGGCAACCTTCAGGTCAGCAACCCAACCTTCAAGTCATCAGCCCTGCTGGCACAAGGGTTTAACCCACTGCACCATCAGGGGCTCACTGTTGGAGTGCTTGGATGAGAGACCAGGTCCTGTGAGCTATATTTCAGAGGAACAAATTGGCGAAACCATATTTGGATATAACTTGTCTTAAAACCTATTAAATTTATGGAGTCATCATAAGTAGACAGGTGACTTAAAGGCACATACATTACACACCTTCTCTCTCAGTAAAAAGTTAGCTCTTCAAACACAATCACAGTAAGAGAATAGATAACAACAACAGAACACATATCAAAGATTTCATATCCCTACCATAGATACTTAGTTGGAGTTATCTATATAATATTATACTTGGTAAGCAGAGGAAACTCTTGTCTTAGATCTGAATGTGGAATTGTCAAATAATAATAATAATAATAATAATAATAATAATAATAACAACAGCAACAACAACAACAACAACAACAACAACAACAACGCTATTTTTGTATCCTGCCACCATCTCCTTGAAGGGATTTGGGGCATCTTACATGGGGATGAGCCCGGTCAAACCTAGTTAAAATATAGCACAATAAAATTTATAAAACAGCATCATAAGACAACAACAACATAAAACAACTATTGAATGAACAACTAATAGCCTGACATGGTAAAAAATAGGCTTGGAAATGTGGGCTATTGCTCCCAAAGTTCCTTGGTCAATTTGACTGGTCATCATGTTGGCTGGAGGGTTTAGGGAGTGGTCATACTAACAACAACAACAACAACACCATCATCGTCAGGGCCGTAGCCAGAATTTTTTTCTTGGGGGGGGGTTGAACCCCCCCCCCCCCCCCCCCCCCCCCCCCCCCCAGCTACAGGCCTGATCATCATCATTTATATCCTGCACCCATCTTCCCGAAAGGACTCAGGGTGGCTCATAACATAAGTAAATACAATAAATAATATATGCAAAATAATAAATGATAAATTAATAAAAGCTGAAGCAAAATAAAACAAAATAGACAAATTAAACAATGTTAATGTAGTTCCCTAAAAGTAAAATTTGAGAGCTTTGCAGGTAGAAGAGTGATTTCAGTATGTTTCATATTTAAAATTTGCCCTTGCTCAACCTACAAAAGCACAATTCTAAGCATATTTGAAGTAAATGTTGATGTTTATTAACGATTGAATGTAAATATAATTGGACACTGGATCATAGTGTAAAAAGTTACATTTCAATATACTGTAAAAAAGGTACGGTTGTAGTTTTTATTGTTATTGTCTGAAAAGATGTACTAAAGCCATTAAAAAAGAAATGCAAGAGCCTTAAGGGCTTGGTGTAAATTTTTCGTTCCTTATGAGATCACCTGGTCTTGACAAGGCTTGATAGATAAAACTGGCAAAAGTGTTCTGTATCCTGAAATTGTAAGCGACTGCTTCTTCACAAGATGGTGGACTAAAAAAGCCACACACCAATTTTTTAAAAGCTAACGTTTTATGCAATTACCTGCAGAGATGTTGTGTACTGTGTGTTCCTTCTATCCCAGCCCTTGCCTTCTGGTCACAAAAATGGCCCTGGCTCCACTGAAAATTCACAACAGCCGCAAAGCAAATTAATTATGTGCATGTACCTGAAAGAACAGATTGGAATTCCCTGGTAATGGACTTGGATATGCTTCACCTTGTTGACAGATAGACACAGGAGACCCTAGGAAAGCTCTGTGGCTATATATAGCTCCAAGGCCAATAAGATCTGGTTAGAGAAGAAACTTGCTGAGATCAGGTAAAAACTGCATGCTAAATTGAATGCATTTTATCATTTAGCGAGGCTGTTTTAAAACCACAATTGTGTATGTGCATGAGCGTCTCCAGTCAGAATCACAGCTATCTAAGTGGGAAATGGAGTCCCGTTTCATTCTCCGCCCCCAACATGTTTCTGCTTCTTCAAAATTAGGGCAGTGGCACAGATCAGGATCAGTAAAGTGCGGGTGACATGCAGCCTCAACCCCCTTTTATTGGAACTCCCCAGGACATGTCCTAAGACTCCAGATCACCCATAGTTTTGCACACCAATGCAGGCAATATTCTTCCATCACACCTTATGTCACAATAGCCCAGCTGAGTTGTCTAAGACCTAGGTAAAGTTCCCCCCTTGTGTTACCATTACTCTCCTTATGTGGAAGACAAGTTTCTGAAGATGGACTGAATCAGATGTTGGAATAAGGTGATTGGGGCATTGTGTGATCTGGGGTGTTGTGTGGTTTGTGGACTGTATGGCCGTAATCTTGCAGCATAATCATCCTCTGAAGATGTCAGGTACAGGTGGAAGCAAAACTTTAGGAAAAAATGCTGCTAGAACACAGCCATACAGGCCGGAAACCATACCAACACCCAAGTGATTCCAGCCACTTTTGACAATACATTCTGCGATCTATTTGTTCTTGGAGAAGTTTGATCTGGTCATGGTGGTATATGTCTTAATTGCATCCAATTGGACTACTCTAATGCGACTTATGTGTGGTTCAGAAACTTCAGTTGGTTCAAAGAGCAGCACCAGACTGCTAACTGGGGCTGGCTACATAGAACACACAACTCTGCTGTTGCAACAGCTTGTTCCACTGGCTGCCAACATATTTCCAGGCACAATATTTCCAGTGCTGGTTTTGACCTATAAAGCCCTATACAGCTCTGTTCCAGGTTATCTGAAGAACTGTACCTCTTTCTATGAACCTGGTAGACATCTGCGATGAACCAAGGAGGACCTTCTCTCTGTTCAGGCACGTTTGGTGGGAACACAGGAGAGGACTTGTTTGGTAGCGGCTCCCAGACTGTGGAACTCCCTCCAAAGAGAGATCAGGATGGTGTTCTGCAAGCATGTCAAGACCTTTATCTGCCAGCAGACATTTGGAGAAGGATAAGATTAATGCTGTTGGGGAGCTTGTGGGTGGGATTCTGAGGGGGATTGTGAGTTTTAAAATGCATTTTAATTGTATTTATTAACTTGTAACTTAGAAACTGACAAATGTTGCAGCATGGAATAGCTCCATTCAGTCATGGCTCCCTCCAAAATCTCCCGTTCCATTCCATTCCTGCTTTTCACTATATCCCAGTTTTTGATGTTTCGATCCCCCTCTCTACCAAACTATAACATTTATGTTCTGTGCCTATTAAGCATCTTCCATGTCTTTTAGATATCCTACTTTAGGATTTTTCCCCCTTAATTCTTTTGGGAAGGGATGCATGTGAATAACCTGGGTTCTCTCAAGCCTGTTGGTACTTCCTTTTTGTAGGAGGTTGTGCTATTTTGCCTATTTTGGGACTGTGATTCAGAGAACGAAGAGTGTCATATTTCCGCCTTTGCTTTCTGGCCCACTGAAGACAAATCCATCCAAGGTAGTCATATGTATTGACCCAGCCTGCTTTTAATGTAAAATTCTAGGCTTATGTTAGAGTTTAAACCTGAGCCGCAAAGCAGTCTTTGGGGTCAAAAATGAAAAGCTTTCATAAAAAAAAACCCAGGTGAAGCCTTCTGCTTTCAAATTTTATGGATATTTTTTAAAAGCCGTACACACTTGGATTTTTGAAAAAGTGGTCTTTACAATCCTAGAACTTCTGGTTCAGAAAGCCCATATGAGATCTGATGGAAAATATAGCAAGTAACTTCAGGCAGCTGTGGGGAAGACTTGACTGGTGCCTCTCATCAAGTGTTTGTCACACTTTCCACCAGACAAGGGATTGTTTCTTGCAACTGATTAGTTTCTCTGGCACAGCACACATCTAGGAGCAAAGGAAGCCTTTAATAGCTGCCAAAATTTGGCAGGACCCAGATGTGGGCTCAAAAGGGGCATGAAATTAAGGTTGCCTGCCTTACCCCAAGCAAAAAAAGTAATGGTATTTGGAGAAGGATGAACTGCTTTATCCTCATCTGCTGGCTGTTTTCCACCCTTGAAAACATAAATGCATGACATTCCATCTTATGCGGAAAAGCTACACCACTGCATTTTTTATATATAAAACACAGAAAGCCTCAAGATCTGAAAATGTCCATCACTCTGTAAGTTTTAAGGGACACAAAGCAATATGTCATTGAAGAGAACTCAGTTAAAACGTGTTGCTGCTTTCCAAGAAAAAGCCTTCCAAACATGTGTATGCTGATTCCCAAGACAAAGCTTTCCATACATGTGTCTGTCAGATAAAGTAATAAAATGTAATATGGTGCACAAAAATCTGGAGACCAAGATTTGAATTCCTCTTGGTCAATAGATACCCACTGGGCACTTCCAGACTGGGCATACACCCATGATAAAGTGGGTTTAAGAAACTAGTTTTGTCATGGGTTTAAGTCCCCACGCCTTACCAAAAAACCCGGGCTTTCTGGGTTGGATGTCCCCATGCCATCCTACTAACTTCTGGGATGGCATGAGGCTACCCTCCCATAAGTCCCGAGAAAAGTATTGAAAGTCAAATAAAACTTACCAGGCCACCATGAAACCTTTCTGGCAGGGCTCCTAGTACATGCCAGGATGTAGGGGGAGGGGGAAAGAAGCAATTCATTTCTACATGCCAGGAGACCTGCTGGAGAGGTGGCATGGCAGCCTGGTAAGTTTTCTTTTAAGGGCTTTGGGAAGAGGGTTGGGAGGATAGGTGTCCTCCTTGGTTTTC